TCATGCATAAATTTATTCATAAATTAATCATGTAATAAAATCATATAGCTTTAAAAATCCCATGTATTAAAAACTGCCCTGTAGGCCCCGGCGGGCCGGCGGGCCCTTCTCAGATTCCAGGGGGGGCTCTTTCAGACCCGAGACTGCTGAAGACTGCCGCAGGCCGCCTCGTGAGGCCGTCGCAGGACCCCCATGCGGGGGCACCAGGGGCAGGCAGAGGATGGAGAGGGGAACCCCCGACCCCCCACGTCGTGATCTGTGTTACAGCGTCGACCCCCAGAGATCTGGACCCATTTCCTGGGGGCCCGCTTTTTTCCTCCTGGGCCGTTCTGGTACCCCTGGAGGCCGAAAACAGCGAGAAGCCTTCCGTCGTGTTTTGCTCACAACGCGAGGGGGTCTGGGGAGGATGGGGGGGACAGATTGATGTTCGGATGCAACTCCTGGGAGGTCAAATTCTGATTTTGCCCTGGTCCGAAATCCGGCTCAATCCGGCTTAATGCCGCTTGATCCGGCTTAAGCCCGCTTACTCCGGCTCAATCCCGCTTAGTCCCGCCCGCTGAATCCAGCTAAATCCCGCTGAATCCGAGGCCCACTTCAGCGTAACAGCCCCCCAATTGGGCTTACTCCTCCTTAGTCCGACGAAGACCTCCCGGCAGTTGCCTCCGAATTGATGCATCTGAACGCTCTCAGAGCCGCGGCGCCCGAACATCCTCTGAGAGCGTTCCGCAACGCTCAGAGAAGGCCCCTGCCGCGAGTGAAGAGAGCAGGCTCCGCCCCGGCCCCGCTCGGGAGTCGGCCGTGATTGTGGCCCTCTAACGGCACCACTTGCCGCTGGACGCGCGCCTAGAGCTTTCACTGATGCTCAGTGGAGGAAAAGGTACCGATACCGCTGCCCTTGCCTCGTTGTCCCTTTTTTCGGCTTCCTGGGAGGCCCTCGTCGCCAGCGCCGGATTCGCCTCGAAATGTTAGTCAGAACGCACCCCAGGAGAAGTCCGGGGAGTAGCGGTATCGGTACCTTTTGGTTGCCCCATGTGCATTCACACCACGATGCAGTTGATTTAGCTCCTGTCCTCGAGAAGGCCTGTCTCCACAAGTGCGACCCCGTCCCAAGTGGCCAGCCGTGCCAAAGCATGTTGCCAGCACTCTCCCTTCTCTCCGACAAACTTGCCACCAGTCGACTGCGAAGTGCAGCTCTTGACTTTTGCAAGTTTCGTAGAGAAGGCTTTTCACAGCAAGTGCGTGCCGTCCCGTGTGGCAGACCGTGCCAAAAGCATGTTGCCAGGAATGCAGGTGGGTGGTTTCGCAGTTGCGTTTGACATTGCAGCTGGGGCGATTTCCCATGATGTGGTCCGATGTCTCCCATGTGAGGCTGCTCCTGGCGTTTCGCCCTTCTCTTCGACAAACTTCTCACCAGTCGACTGTGAAGAGCAGTTGCCATTGCGCTTTAGTGCAACTGTGCTTTGCCGTAAGACAAATCACATCTGGTTTCACTAAAATGCGATTACTATCTTCGTTTTCTTCGAGGAGGCTTCCCGCGACAAGTGCGACGCCGACTCGTGTGGCTGACCGTGCCAAAGCATGGACACCTTCAATAGTGGCTTGCTGTTCGACACTGCAGCCAAGTCGTATCGCCAGGATGTTCTGTGATGTCTCTTCTCCTCCTCCTCCTCCTCCTCCTCCTCCTCCTCCTCCTCCTCCTCCTCCTCCTCCTCGTCCTTTTCGTCGTCCTCGTCCTCCTCCTCCTCCTCCTCCTCCTTCTCCTCCTCCTCCTCCTCCTCCTCCTCCTGCCTCCACCTGCCATCCCCGACCTGCCCGTGCTACGCCCGAGATCGGGGCGTGCGACCTGCAGGTGCTGGCGCCACTCACAGCGCCCGACGCGCTTCTCTCACCCTCCCCAGAGATCAAGGCTTGGGACGTCTAGGTCCCCTTCGCCATCCCTTCTCGCTGGCCCATGCTGGAGCCAGGACCAGGACGCGCGGACACGGCGCCAGCGAGGTGCTCTGATCTCCTTGTCCCCTACAACAAACCAGTGGTTCATGCCGTAGCCCCCCGCAGTTTCGGATAAGCGTGGGGGGGCGGCGGGAACATCGGCAGTCTGCGAGGTTCTGAAGAAGCCCGCCGCAGGCGCCGAATTGTCACAAGTTGTACAATGGGCCCGCCGCAGGCGCCGATTTTTTCGTGAAAGCAGTGTTGGTGGGTCGCGGATGGGTCGCAGGTGGGTCGCGAGTGGGTCGCGGGGTGGGTCGCGGGGTTGGTCGCGGGTGGGTCACGGGTGGGTCGCGGGTGGGTCGCGGGGTGGGTCGCGGGGTGGGTCGCGGGTGGTTCGCGAGCCGGGCCGCGGGGGGGACGACGACAATAACAACGCAACGCAACAACAACAACAACAACAACAACAACAACAACAACAACAACAACAACAACAGCAGCAACAACAACAACAATGACAATAGCAATAACAAAAAAACAGCAGCAGCAACAACAAGCAGAATCCGCGCCGCGGAGTCCCATTTCACCCCCGCACCCAGGGACGGTAAATGACCGTTCGGCCCCCTCACTCTGATAAGATTGCGCCGTGCCCTGCTTGGCGCCGCTCGCGTCGTGAAAACATACGGCCTTAGACCACCTCAAGCTGGCGCCACGAGCCCCCAAAAACTGCCAAGTCCTGGCCAAGACTAAACAGCCCTGCCCTGTTCGATTCCTTCCTTAGGTGCGTTTACTAAACGGCTTCGCGTGCCGGGGTGCTTATGATGGGAAGGACTTTTTCTGCTCTCTAATGAAGCCCTATTTTTGGACCGAAAAGCGGAAGTCATTCATGTTGGTTTGGTTCTTGATCGATTCAATTGTTATTACGTCCTCGAGCCTCCTAAAGCCCAAGACACCGCAGGGGCCCCCCAGGTCGCCTAAAGACGACCGCAAGAGGGCCGCAAGGCGGCCCAAGAGCGCCCGAGGATGGCCCAAGAGAGCCCAAGGTGACCCCCAAGAGGGCCCGACGGGAGGCCAAGAAGGGTCTTGTGATCGTTTGATTATTCATTGTTTTGCCGATCGGCGCGGGCCCTCGCACCCCCCCTCCCCCCCCCGATGGAGTAGATCTTGGCTGTTTTTGTCGGCTGTTTCGAGCAGGTGGGGCCTCCCCCATGGGACGCGCTGGTGCAAACAGTCGCACTAAGGCACTAAGCAGAAGTCCTGAGCCAGACCCCCCTCTCCCCCCCCCTTTCCGCCCAATGCCGAGACGCCGAATAAGAAAATACTGACTTTGGGGAATCACCCTGGCGGGTAAGTCCCCCAACATGCCCCCAAGATCCTCTAGGAGGCCCCACGAGGCCCCCAGGATCCGCCCGAGAGGCCCCCAAAAGTAGCAGGCAGGCTCTCGCGCAACTTGGTTCCGGGCCCTGCACTGGTCCTTGCGGAGCTTCCCTGTCGGCCTCCCGAGGGGGGGCCCTCCTGGGTCCGTCGCCCCTCCCCCTTGCCCCTCCCTGTGAGCATGTGGGCTGTGCCACTCCTTAGTTGCGCACCCCCCCGGCTGACGAGGTCGTGCACATTGCTTCCGAGGAGAGCCGAACCGAACCGAACCTTGTGAGCATGACACCCCTAGGGGCGCACCGGCGGGCCAGCAGCATCGCCGCCATGGAGCGATGTCTGGCGCAAGCGGCCGCGGGGGCGTATGTCCCCATTGCCTCTCGTTCATCCCTCCCCTCTCACCCCGTCTCCCCTTCCTCCCCCTCCTCCTCCTCCTCCTCCTCCTCCTCCTCCTCCTCCTCCTCCTCCTCCCCCTCCTCCTCCTCTCCTCCTCCTCCTCCTCCTCCTCCTCCCTGCCTCCCTCCCTCCCTCCCTCCCTCCATCCATCCATCCATCCTTCCCTCCCTCCTCCCTCCCTCCCTCCCTCCCTCCCCCCTCCCTCCCTCCTTCCCTCCCTCCCTCCCCCCCCTCCCTCCCCAGTTCTCCATCACTGAGCCCCCCTTTTCCTGCGTTCGCGCGAGGAGCGTGTGTCAGAGAAGGAGACGGGGAAGAGAAGAGAACGAGGCCGATGAGGAGGATGAGCATGAGGAAGAGGAGAAGGGTGATGAGAAGAAGTGACGGCTGGACGATGCCAAGCCCTTCAATTCGCAAGGGGATCTTCGTAAGTTATCAGCTCTATGATGGGAGAGCGCGCCCACAGGGACAACAGTAAACAACGAAAAGAGGAGGATGAGGAGGTGGAATGAGTCGAGTGGGACCAGTTACGAGATACAGCTCAGGCGTAGAGTGTTTGAGGCAATTTCCTTTTAGCTTCTAGTCCTCGAATCCTTCCCGTTCTCTTGTTCATCGCACCCCTCTTCTTGCCCATTATGATACAATGTCTTTTCGGCCCACTGGTCCACCTCCAACATCTCTGCTGGCGACTGCAACTTCTGCAACGAAACTGTCTCACCCCCTTCGTCCCGCATCCTCTTCATGATCATCACCATCTTCATTCGTCCTGTGGCCATCAAGGTATATAATGTTATTATGTGCGCAGCAAGTTGTTACTCCCACCGCCCAGCATTGGCAAAGTTTGCAGCGTCAGGCCAATCATACCGCATGGCAGTGTATCCTGTCATCAGCTTCTGCGCTGCTGCCCAGCTGCCAAACAGACACCACCTGCCACCGAGTCAGCGCGGCCTCCTCCTCCTGCTCTCATCCTCCGCCTCCTCGTCGCCGATTGTCGTCGCCATCGTGTCGATGGCTGCCGCTTTCCTCTCATCCTGGACCTCGCTCCCTTTCAGGGCGCACGCGCGCGCGCCGGCCAACCTCGAATCCTAAAGAAGCCGCTCCTCATCGGCGTCCCTCTTCTCTGCCCACATCGCCTCCGCTCCCTCCGTTTCCGCCCCTTCCGCCCCCACACATCATCCGTACCTTCTTCCGCCGCAGCATGCTCCAACCTTCTCGTCCTCCCTATTAGCCGTTTCGGCTTCGCTTAATCTCGGCCAGGAGACAGATCGCAGGCGCAGCCCCACCCGTGCACCAGTAGCGCGACAGGGGCGATGGTCGCCATGAAGGCCAAGAAGTCCACGAGTAGCGTGCTGAAGACCAAGGGCGTCGTCAAGCGCGCCCCTCCCTCTCCGAAGATCCGCATCGGCGTGCTGGTCGGCAAGGACTTCGACCCGGTAATCGGGCGGGATGCGGGACGCGCCAAAAAAGTTCCGATTTCGAGGCGCGAGGTGGACACCTCACCCTCGGCGGAAGCCAGCAGAAGCAAGGCAAGTTCGGCTCCGCTGGCGGAAGCAAGCGGAAGGCTGGCGGAACCGGGAGGGAGGCACAAGTCGGCCCCCCAGGAGGTGTCAGCATGCTCGGATTCCAATTCCAGTTTTCCACAGTGAGCCATGTGTTGGTCGCGATCTGATGGCCACTGGCGTTTGCAGCGGTGTCGGTGGGATTATGCGTTTCCCCCGGTCGTGGCAGCTTCCGCCTCTTCGGTGCAGTTCAGGGCAGTTCGTTGGGTTCCAGCGTCTTACAATGATGGCACCTGACAAGGTGAAGAAGGGTACACAGTGGCCGGAGTACCCCGAAAAGTATAATCTGACCAACGACGATTGGGGTAAGTATTCGGTCGACGTGGCCACGGCCCTGAAGATGAAGCAGCTTCATCCAGACCTCCTCGAGATAGACATTATCCCAGGCAAGGAGATCAAGGAGCATCGGTTGAAGAAGAATCACCTCAATCTTAATTTCTGGTACGATGTCGGTGTCGCAATCATGAGTGGTAAGGGAAAGGGTCACATCGACGACGTCATGAAGTGCCACAAGAACCCAGAATGCCGCTTGGACCCCAGTTGGGACTACTACGACTGGGTCTTGTGCAAGCCCCGATACATGGAGCAGTGCAGAAAGGCCGGCATCCCAATGATCCCCACCGTGGTGTACACCGATGGGTTCGATCCGAAGCAGTGCCTGAAGGACGTGCAGAAAAAGGGTTGGGACAAGTTCTTCTGCAAGGTGGGTCAGTTTTCCTTCTTTGGCGAGGGGGCCATCAACGGCAAGACTGCCGACTTCCTCGGGCCTCGCTTCAAGGACCTCGAGGCATATGGGAGGGCGAACAAGAGCTCCAAGACATTCCTGCTCCAGCCATACACGTTGAAGCCCAACGGTGAGGTCTTCGACGAGGTGCGCAACTTCTTCATCGACGGACAGTGGCGCTACTCCATCTTCACCCACGGCACCGACGGCTCGGACGCGGGCTTCTACCAGGAGCCGGACGGGCCGCGCAAGGCACGGGGGAGCGGGAAAGGCGGCCACAGGCAGAGACTTGTCGACGACGACGACACGACGACGACGACGACGACGACGATGACGACGACGACGAGGACCACAACGAGGACAACGAGGACGACGACGACGACGACGACGACGACGACGACGACGACGACGACGACGAGGACGACGAGAACGACGAGAACGACGACGACGACGACGACAAGGCGGCCAAGGGCGCTCTGGAACGGCCGCGGCGCCCGACACCAGAGAACTGAACGATGGCATAAGCACTAGAGCTCAGAGGTCCGCGCAGATCTCTTGGATCGGCGCTGGGCCAGGAAGTCCGCGCGGAGCTGCGAGCGTATGTCGTCGCTTGGCTCTCCAGATGCACCCTTCAAGCCCGCCAGCTCTCAGAGACTCCCGCCTTACCTCACTCCAATGGTTGCTTATCTTCACTATGGCTTGGTCTCACATTGGGCGGGGCGGCACGCCACCCACGCGAGCCAGCAGGTGTACGCAGGGACTTCCCGCAGGTGCACGAGGGAGGAGATGAGGGAGCAGGAGAGAAGGAGGAGGAGGATAGGGAGGAGGAGGAGGAGGTAGAGCATCGGAGTATCGGATCCCTCAACAAAGTCAGATCAAGCTAAAAGCCGACCCTTACGGCGAAGCCATCTCTCGAACCTGTCCAAAGTTTAGCCTCTACCATCGGACCATCGGTGACCGAATGCGGCTAACAAGGGCGAGCCAAGGACCGGAGCTGAAACTGCCCATGGAACCCACAGGCTACTCAGCGCCAGGAGCCAAAAGGATCAGAGTAGACAAGCTTGTGAGAGGGGTGTGCGAAGCCCCCACTTATACGAATCAGGCCCCCCGCGGCGGCCTGTACCCCCCAGGAGGAGGAGGAGGAGGAGGAGGAGGAGGAGGAAGACGAGGGGGAGGAGGAGGATGAGGACGAGGAGGGGAGAGGAGGAGGTGGAGGGAGGAGGAGGAGGAGGGAGGAGGAGGAGAGGAGGAGGAGGAGGAGGAGGAGAGGAGGGAGGGAGGAGGGGGAGGAGGGGAGGAGGGGGAGGAGGAGGGGAGAGGAGGAGGGAGGAGAGAGGAGGAGGAGGAGGGGAGGAGGAGGAGAGGAGGAGAGGAGGAGGAGGAGGAGGAGGAGGGAGGAGGAGGAGGCCTAGGAGGAGGAGGGGGGGGAGGCACTCCACATCCCTTATTGATCGACCCCCCCCCTACAAGACCGGACCCCCCTCCAAGTGCGACCTGACATTCCGGACCCCCCTCTTCGACGGGGCGCCTTCCTAACCCCGACCCCCCGAAGCTCCGAGCCAGAGAGAGCGCCCTGATAAACCGGACCCCCCCAGTCACAAAAAAGGTGCCCGGAAAAACCGGACCTGGGGGACGATTAATAAGGGATTTGGACTAGGACTACCGGGACAGGGCTCATTTCAATTCCTCCGATTCGACTCGATTTCCATGGCCTCCGATGCCGGTTTGATTCGACTTCGGCTATTCCGGTCCGGGTGCCGATTTGCCGCCACGGATGCCTGCCAGCCTGTCGATTATTCTGCCGATTCGATTTCTCCCTACGTGGCTGCCGATTTCTGCCGATCCGACTCCTTTCGATCGCCGACCCGACTTGTCGGTTCGATTCTGGGCTTTCCTGCCGAGGGCGAGATCGGAACGGCAGCAGCAGAGGCAGACGAGGGCGAGGGCTCGTCACGTTCTCACGGGCTCCTGATGGGCGTTCAGACAAGCCGGAGACACTCTCGGCAAACGCTGCTGGACCGACGCAGTCTTCTGTGCCGCCTCGAGCAGTCGGAACCCTTCCGTGCGCGGGAGCCTGGCCGCCAGGGCCGCACAATCTGAGGCCGAATCTGCGGCTTCATTGCCATAGATCACCCACCGAGGATGATTCGTCTCCACCATGTCAGTCGGCTCGACTTTAACCACTATGTCGGTCGGCTCGACGTGGCTGGGTACCCTCAGGGCTCGAATTTGGCACCGGGGACGGTGCACGAGTTCTTTCGAGAGCTTCCTCCACAGGTCAGCTTGTGCCCCGCAGGGTTTGTCCGGCAAGCGGTTCCATCATCCCCTCACAATTTCACCCGTAGCAGTAATTAGCAGCAGTTCACCCAAGGAAAACGAATGGCTAACAACAAACTGACCAGTTCGCCCCGAACCACGGCTTGCCTTCGGCCCACCACAGGCCCCAGGATACCAGACACAAGAGTAATGTAAAGGCCAAAGGGATCTCGCGATACTAACCCCCACTTTAATCCTCCGACTGTCGGGCTCCCCCGACGAGTCACCGAAAGCAATCACAGACATCTCGGGCGTTCCACAGCCCAAAGTGCTTGCTCGAAGCTCGTTATTTTCTGAACCGAGAAATGAAACACTGGGATCTAACTTCGATACCAGAAACAAGCTTCATATTCCTCTTGCGACACAGCCGCCAGGATCTACTCTGCCGTCTGATCATACATCGTGTGGCCCTCATTCTTACAGTATAACTAAAACACGTGCAGTATGAATCCAGGTGTTGACATTCATCTGTTACACAGTGGTGACTTGACGAGTCCGAGCTCAGGTTTCCTCTCCTCCATCCAACTTCCTTTGGCCGCAGTACATAGCAAGAGCACCGAAAGTTATTCCCCCCTCCTTGCTCCCTCGAGTTGCAGCAGCATCTGGCGCGAGGACAGGTTGTCGACGCCACCCTCCAGGCCTGCGCCACAGGAATGTTGAGCCGCGGTGTCCCGCTCGAGATCTTCGAGCAAGTCCTGTGACTGCCTGACGTCTTGCAGCGCACTCGCGTCGAAGTACCACTCGAAGCCTGGGATACCAGACTCCGCGATGGGACCATGCCATTCACCCGCCGGAAGTGGATTCCACCCCGCTTGCCAGAGATGAGAAATGGTAGCTGCGAGCGGTCCCTTGACATGTCTCGAGTGCTGACTCCGCTGTATACCTTTGAGATGAGTGACGGCCCCATCCCAAGCTGTGGCGGAGGTGGCCTTCTGATGCGGATGCCGCATCCGGCAACTAAGTTATTGTTTGACCGTTGAAGCTGGCATGAATATGCCTTAGTCGCGACCACGAGCAAGCAAGTCCAGCGCTGTCGTTCAGCGTCTCCCCCTTGTCCTAGCTAGCATTGGATGCCGCCCCCAACCGGTTCCGTAAAATTGCCAGCTCGGATCCCATAACCACCTGAGTCACCACCCCGTGGCTAGACACTGCATGAGGCCCTTGCAGCTCGATCTTCCGCGCGACGGCATGACGCCTTGACGATCGTGCAGACGCGCGCGCGTTAGCATTACGTCGTTCCCCGTTGGCTACAGTCCCCCTCCTGGTCGATCTAGCCACCCTTTTTGTCCTGCCCCCCCCCCCCCCGCAACGATGCCGAGTTATCCAGCGCGCAGAACGAACAGGTTGCAAGAGTGCGGTGGTTTTTTGCCCAGCCAGCAAGCGACGGCGCGAGCCAACGGGATCGAAGGGTTGAGAAGTATTCAGGAGGGGGAAAACACACAGACACAATTAATCGTCGATCTCCCGTAAAATATGCGAAAACCTTGGAAGTGGGGGGGGCGAAGAGAAAAGAAGAAGAAGAAGAAATATTAATTAAGAATGAATCTTGGTATTCGCGTGTATTTATGTATGCCCCTGGGCCCCTTCATGTACATTCTTTTCGGCGATGGTCAAGTCTGAACGTTGCGCAAACTGGCACCTATCTCGGACGCACCGAACAGCATTACCACTCACGAACTTGGGAGGGCCAGCCACGTGGATATTAAAGCTGCCAATCCCAATCCGCTTGCCAAGAGAGGCGACGCGGGTGCATCATGCCCGCTTGTTCCAACATCACAGAATCTGAGCGCCTGGGGAACCTGACGCCAGATCTAAGCCCCTGGGCCACACTTTAAAATGGTTGGAGCGCTTGCGACTGTGACCCAAGTTGGCTCCGGATCCGAGGCGCCACGCACTGCTGCAACTCGGACGCCAGCACCACTTGCGGAAAGCTTGGTCCCGAGGCTGTTGAAACAACATGCCTCCGCTGAATGCTGCCACGCAAACTCTGAATATCCAGAATGGCCTGCAAGTGCGCCATACCTGACCTCGAACAAACCTAGGACCCCAAACTTGCAGGGGGGCTCCCCTTGAGGCCGAATTCCCGATCACTGCGGCACCCCCGGAAGACCCCGCATCCGCGGACCACTGCTTCGCTTGAATCCCGAACACGAGACAAGACCTTGCAAAACATGGCCAGGAGCTCAATCGCTCGATCACCACCCATTTGTTGCTGGCCGGGAGATGCCCGAGGACCACGATAAATTACCAGAGCCAGGTAGCGCGTTTCACGATGGAATGCAAATAGCCAATCAATTGTTCGATGATCAAAGTTGGCAGCCGTCCAAAATCCAACGGCGTCAATTTATGAACCCCGAGGCCCGCACTTGCTCTCATGCGTTCGAGCGCTCGTCTCAACGCTCCAACTGTAATGTCTGAGGGCTCGGCACGCACCGCATGCCCCCTAGTCTCGCGAATAAATGCCGAGCGACTGTTGCACGATGATGGGGGCCTCTCTCGATTGACCCCGGTGCTTGGCAACTTTGCGATCAACTACATCTATTGGGTGACAGAGCCGTTGCCCTTCGACAGCTATCTCATCTGGCGCGCAATACTGCTGCGTAACTGACGCGTAAGATGCCAACTGATGCAGGCGCGACGATCTACTCATGAAATGTCCGAAGAGACCCCCTGATTGCTAACCCCCCGCCCTCTTGGCAACACGTGCACTTCGCAAAGTCAGCGCGTCCAAACCACATTGCCCAAGAACGCCCAGATTGGCTACATGGGACGTTCAAGCTTCCCGGCCCCCGAAGATTCATTCTAAGTGGCAAGTGTGCTTTGCCTGGAATATCATTGGTCAACTCTTCCCCCGCTCAAAAAGAGCCCCTAATTTGGCGCCCCCCTCCCCGCGCGCAATTCCGAAACCTGCGCCGAGCAAGCCTCTGGATGATGGC